GTAGGCGTCTATTTGCGCCAAGTAGCAACTATGTTCATAATAGATATGTAAGTTGATGTATTAGTGCACATGTAAATGCATGCATTGGAGTCCATTTGATTGTGTTTGTATGTAAATGCGTGCTTGAATGTGTGTGTATAAGCATGTTCGTGTCTTTATTTTAGTGTATTTGTGTAAAACTGCTTTCAAGAGTATTTATGTGTGCGTGACTAGATACATTTGTGTGTGTATGTGTGTGAGTTTAATATTTTTTTTAATTACTAATATAAAATAATTAATATTGCGACATGTGTTTCTATCAGGTAAAGTCTTCTGTGCTTCGTGCAGCTCAAATTCAATACCATTACCGAGATTTGGTCAGTTGAAGCCGGTGCGTGTGTGTGAGGAGTGCTATCAGACCAAATGCGGGAGACAGACGAATCGGTGAAAATGTCATTGGAAAATATACCTTGCGTTATCCCTACTAATATTATAAATGCGAAAATAACTCTGTCTGTCTGTCTGTCTGTCTGTCTGTCTGTCTGCTACGCTTTCACGCCTAAACCACTGAACTGATTTTAATGAAATTCGGTACAGAGATAGAGTTGACCTTGAGAAAGAACATAGGATAGTTTTTATCCCAGACTTTTGAAAGGTTCTCTTGGAAACGCGATATAACCGAACTCCACGCGGCGAAGCTGCGGGCGGAAAGCTAGTACGAAATAAAGTTGGCTTTTAAAAAATATTTTAACAGATGTAATTCTATTGTGAGATACATAAAATAGAAAGTGTTTAAACTATTTTAATAAATTATAGACTTTATTTCGTTATATTAAGGTTTATTTTCTGAAATACTTTAATCGATCGCTCACAATTTCTAACATCACGTTATTGTTGAGAATTTTGTGTGTTAAATGTTACTGTATAGTTGAGGAAACAATAAAAAATATATTTCTTAGTTACTTTGAATTGAAAAATGTCCTAACTTTAAAAAGCGGCAGTGTTTGTGAAAACTGTGTATGGACACAGTTTTCAATATACTGAATATTTAAAAATTACATTACATTTAAAAATTCATATATCCAGTATTGCCATGCTAAAACGAGAAATGTCCCTAAAATATAATATTACCTATAATTAATTTGTGATATTTGTATGTTATTCCACAACTAACCCGCCCTAGATGACTATTAAGTACTGAAATGTAAAATTCCATTTTTGACTGATGTTATAAGCGAGTTATTTTTTTGTTTTGTTTTTGATAGGTAGCTCTCTATACGCTAGATGTCGCTACATTATTTGATATTTTTTTGTAAATGTCGTAACTAATAAAAATTGACTCAGCAACTATTATATATTCATAAAACATTTAGTATATAAAGTTTATGTCAGATGCAATATATTGTATGCAGAGTTATATATATATTAATAAATAACATTTTTCATGTATAGATATGTTTTGTAATAAAATTTAATTATTTGCAGAACATTTTAAACGATATTATAAAATATGTATATTAATGTTAAGTAGTTATGTTCAAATAGTGTCTATTTTTAAGAGTACGTTGAAATGATGTTTATATTTTTTAAAAATAATTAATCAGCGTGGATGTAACAGAAGATTCCATACTTTTATAACATTATTATAGTATGTATAGATATTTTGTAAAGGTTAATTATTAATTTCTACCAATATATATGTTGGCTTTTCCTTTTTGTATGTAATTTCTATGTTTGATGAGACCACAACGTCTAAGTGATATAATGATACTGATATATATTTTAATTGTATAAAATAAATGTCGGTTTTATTATTAGATAAAGTATGTTTTATTTCACTGTTTTTATATTGACTTTGTAGAAAATTCATTAAAATGACAAAATTATAAACATATCTTTTCAGTCACTAAAATTATTCCCCAGACTGATTATCCGATTTGATTAGTAAGAAAAATATTTCAATTATTTTGTAGTCTATACACACGTTATGTGTGCAAAACTGTGCGCTGTAATTGCACAAAGCAAGTTTGCTCACACTGTATTAGGTCTATAGTAATGTCCATCTTCTTGAACATAAACAGTTCTGATTTTTAATTTGCTTAAAAAATTCTATTTAGATTTGTGTTTTTAAGTGGTTCCGTTAATTTTTTAGTTTACATAGTGTCTATGTGATTTATGACCTCGTATGAATTGTACCAACAATTATTGTATTTCTTAAACTTTACAAGAATGAAACTAATATTTTTGGGGATATACTACGTGACTCTAATAATAATACTTACTTTAGTCATTGGTGGCCTAGTGGCAAGTACCAATGTGGTTTTACCGAGTCATATATGTATATGTACTTTCTAAGAGTATTTATACAGCACTTATTAATGCATTCCCAAAGAGGGTTGATGTCAGGCAGTCATAAAAATAATTAGCCAAAACTATTCACAACATGTAAGGCAGACCCTGGCTAAAGCTGGGAAATTGCCAGGAAGAAGTAGAAGTAGAAGTTTAATAATAATACTTACCTATATACGCAAATTAATTGAAAACAATGTTGTTAAAATTTTTCACTATTATTAAACAGAATATTGTAAAAATGTATAGATTTTTTCAAATACTTATGAACCTCTTTGGCACCCACTTCAAAGATAACGTGAAATTTAATTCTCCTCAGTAAACTAAGTTTTAACTTCATTTCATAACAAACTTTATCATGTTCAAATTAAAATAATTGTCTAATATAATGACTGCTAGTTCTTATTCGTGATTTGGTCCACTTTTAATTCGGTATTATTTCAAAGAGAAATGAATATGTGTTCTTGGTATAATTTACATAGAAACGTATTGTCAGCGACACCTATCGTGTGTGTCGCGTAAATGTATACTACATGCAACTGGTAAGTAATTTTTCTGGGGGATGTAAGTGTAATATAATAAATGGTCTGACTAATTCTGATGTCCAAGTTCCGTTATTGAATAGTTTTATCAAAATATCTTCAGCATATTTTACGCGAAAAAGCGACAAACACACATCCATACATCTTTACAAACGTTTGCTTTGAGAGTAGGTATGTATAGAATTGTTATTTTATTTTGAAAATACAAAAAACAAATGAATTAAAAGAAATCTTATTTCCAATGGGATGAATAAACGGTACTAATATCATAATATATTGCATAATTAGGGGAATAGGGCGCCACTGCGACACTGTCAACATCGTACTCGTTATAAAAAATTAATTTAAAATTATTTAAGTGCTCCAAAACAAAGTGATACGTTCAAAACATAAAACCAGTGCATTAAATACATCGATCAATATATAAATCACAGTGCATATTCAACAATCTTCTATCAAAAGTGCATAACAACGTTGTATCTAGTGTCATTAGAAAATCGTCAAGATACCAAGACCCATATAATAATTCGAGTTCGAAGTAATAGTGGAACATGTATACGACAGGACTGAAACTTGAACTACATTAAAACAGTGCGTAATCCTAAAGCATCAACTATAACCTCAAAAGTGATCAATAATCATCATAACAATTCCTTTGTTCTAAATCATCGATTTCTATCAGCGCCATCTATTGCGATTCATCAGAATTTCCTAACCAGGTCCAAATACGACGCGCACTCCGTTATCTCACAGCACTTACACAATTCGATCGCCAATATACAAAGAAGTACTGCCCGTCCTAATAGAGGGCGCTAAGTGTATTGTAAACAGTAAGGGAGGAATTAAAAAATATGTTAATCAGCATGCTGCATGCAGCAAGATATAAAGCAACAAAAACAAGATATGTTAGAAATGAAAAAGGATATTAAGGATACAATAATCAACAGCCTCAGCGAGAAGTTCAATAATTTAGAATCGATAAACGAGCTTTTGTAGAAAAAAAAAGAAGAGCAATCAAATAAAATTAACAGTCTCGATGCAGAATTAGACAGTCTCGATGCAGAAATCTGGTCTTATTTGGCGTAGAAGAGATAGAGAAATCTTACGATGATCTGGAAAAACTGGTAATAAATATAATAAATAAACACATAAAAATTTCATGCGACACTAACAACATAGACACAGTTAGGAGGCTGGGTAAAAAGGGAGTCAAAGTTAGACCGATAGTAATAACACTCAACACCTTAGGTTTTAAAATAAAAATAAAAAAAATAAAACACTACCTTCAAAATACTTCCTATTACTTAAAAGAAGACTACCCAATTGAAGTTCTAATTAAACGTAAAGAGCTACAAATACAACTACAGAAAGAAAAAGATGCAGGAAACACCGCTTTTATAAAATATGATAAAATTGTAGTACTGAACAACAAAAAACCTCAACAAAAGCAATCAAGCAAAAGAAACCTATCAGAATCCCCAGAGACGCTCCACCCCAACAACCAAAATGCTCACTATTCTAATAAAAATACACTCAAGAAAAATAAAGGAGTATTGACGAACTACATAATACAAAAGCCTAAACTAAACCTCGCTCAGAAAGAACCAGCTCAACGCCAATCGATAACCTCAGACCAAAACACAGTATAGTAATTAAAATCGGGCCCTTTTCCAACCTCTAATCTTCCAGCACGGCCGGTTACCGCGGGAGAGTTCGACCAAAACCCCCCAAGAATACTTATGAAAACTAAGAAGTGTGCGATTACCTGGAACAGGTTCTGGCACCATAAGGAGATATTGAAATGTCAACTTCCACTACCGATCAAGAAAATAGTCATGGATACATGGATACAGAAGTAAGGCAGTCCTTGGGGGAGGCTTTTACCCGAACGGGGTCCATGCATATATTAATTATTGATTAAATATAAAATGATTAATTAATTATCATATCAAATTATGAAAAACAGATTATTAATAATATTAAGTTGGATGAGAGTGTAAAGTGAAAAATTACATACTCGTAGATAGTCATGGTTTTTGCTGTTTTTAATTTCCTACTCATAACATAACAGTAGAAGTATTCCAGAAAAAGTAGTTGTTGTGAGACGTAACGTTTATGTAAACTATCAAAATGGGTTTTGAAATCGAGATCAGGGTAGGTTATATATTACAAAATTTTAAAGCTATGAAATAAATATTCGTTCATAAAATTATTTGCGAACTATTATAGAAAACTACTACTAGGTAATAGATCTATCTGTAAATAGATGTAGGCCATTGTATAGAATACAATAAGCCGTAAGAATGAACCTTATATTCCTATCTTTGAATATCATGCAGCCAATTAAGATCATTTGAAATTCACTCAAACGTTCGTTGTAAAGGATTGAAGAATTGAACTTTTGTAGTCTATTCATGGCTGAGATATTGAATTCAAATTCGTATGTATTGATGATTTTTATTTTTATGCTAAACAAGAACGACGGTTCTAAAAGAAACGAGGTCTGCTAGATTTTATTTCATGTTTATGTAGACTTAAAATTAACTTATCTCATATAAACTTTTAATTAAAATCATACAAAATTTAATTTATTGCCGAAACAAGTTTTACATAGGTATAAGACATGAAATAAAAAATAATTATTTATAACTTATAGGTATATTATTTAATTTAAGAGATTTACTTCTTGATAACTATTTTACAATAATTATCACAAGGTCAATGACTTTCTTAAAAAACATATGTTATTTGTATACCTAATTACAATTTTTTTATAGTTAGATGACGAAGACGATTCTTTGACTAGAAGACAAGGAGGAATTTGTCAGGTAATAATATTAATATACAGAAATAAATATTCTTTAATTCCTTACATCAAAATTAGATTATTCTAAGGATGAAGTATATATAATGTCTACAAATTTTTATTTATGATAGTGTTTCCCCAAAAGATTTGTGTATTCGAAAATTCGAAGATAAAATTAAGTGTCTTATTTTTGTATCTAGAACGACCATGGAGTTCCTCTTGTGACGTGGATCAATGAAGAGGAGACAGTTCTGGGAGTGGGCTCTGTGTTCAGAGTTGATAAGGATACGAAATGCATAGGACCTTTCCTTTACACGAGTACAGCCCGAAACAAAGTCTTTATAGAGTGTCTTCTAGAGGAAACTAAGTAATTTGTTACAGATTTATTACAGTCAAATTTTTCCCCTTTTAACGTTTTTTGTACTACGTTATTGAAATTTTCCAAATCTGGAATTAGTTAGACGTCACAGAAGATAGGCGTGAAGTAGCCTTTAATGGATGAGTTTTGTTCTATGAGTGAGAGAGTAGGTAGCCCTTTCCCCTTTTTTTACCTTTTCCTGACATTATTCCCTTATCCCCTTATTTCCTTAGTCCCACCCTTTCTTATCCCTAAAAAAACAAAGTTGGCAACGCATTCACCGTGCGGACGACGGGTCCATGGCGTTGCAGGGAGAGGAGCTTCAACAGTGCCTCCAATTTGCGACCCAGGTGTAGTTTTAAGGGTCTCTTATGTAACGCGCGTTAAACGCTCACCTCTACCGTCCAAGCTCCTTTCTCTACCTAAACAACTTAAAACTAACCTGCTAGGGCTGCCTTCGACTCACGTTCCAAATATTAGTTCTGGACAGGCTCAAGTCTTTTAGTAGGTTGTTCAGAAATTTGGGTGTTATACCTCTCAATTTTACTTCTGCAGCGTACAAATTTACGTGGAACCTATTCTTAGTGAGTTCATTCGTTAGTGATACTTCATATATCATATATACGGTTAGAATAAATTAATTTTTAAATACACATGCAGAAGTTCTCAATGTATGTAATACGATTTGCATTGACTAATAAAATTTGACACTGTAAATGATTTTAAACTTGAGATTTAGGACGGTTATTTATTCCAAAATAGATTTGTCACAGACTAAAACTAGCTCAATACAAAAGTCTTAGTTAACCTGTTTAATATTGATGTATTGCGTGACATGTTTTTTTTTTTTAACTGTTGCTTAGTTTTTATTGTCTTTATATGTTTATAACTAATTACTTAATTCATACAATTATAATTTCAATTATTATTTATTTTATAATTTCAATTATTATTTAATTTCAATTATTATTATAATTTCAATTTCATTTCAGTCAGAGACGGAGTATTGATATTTGTAATCAAGAAGCTAGCAAACTCGGTTTTGAAATTGTAAGGAGATATGTTATATGGAACGAAGATGATACCGCGTAAGTTTAATATTTAATATTGAATAATGACAGTATATAGAAGACTCACTCTTTATGTACATTTAATTATTATTGAAGTAACTTGCCGATATAAATGAATCAGTAAACATAGTGTACAATTAATATAATATCACATAATTTATATGAACACAATATTGTGCACCGTATATTAGAATATTATTTTGTTAAATTTAAAAAATCACATATGGAAGGATAATTTGGTCTTTTCGAACAAAATAATATCTCATATATTAAAAAGGTGAAAATAGTTTATATTAAAAAAAATTGCTTTTCGACTTTAAATTACTTTTTTTCAGCATAATGGACAACTACGATGTAAAAATAAGGAAACAGATAAATATGAATTTTGTAGGACTGGGATGAATGGTAATTGTAATATGCATCATAATGATAACAAATAGAAATACGATGTAACAGAATTTATCTCATAACGTTACAAATAAAATGTAATTAAAATATTATGGTTTATTCTAATATACATTCATACACACATAAACATATACTCGTATATTCAGAAAATTAATTTAGGTCCCTGATGTTTTCCTCGAGAAATTTAATAGCTTATCTTAAAATTACCGGTTGCTTTCAATGTCTCCTAGGAATAAAGTCTTTCTGTCTGATATTTATATTATCCAATAAGATGTCGTCTATTCTATTTACTTAAATGTTGTATTGTAAATAAATAGATAACGATAATTAGTTAAAAGATTATTATTATAAATCAATTTATATTATGAAAAGAGGTTGTATATTTAATATTTTGTATAAAGCATAATAGTCCGGTCTATTTACACATTCAAGTTTACATAAATTCCCATAAAGCTGAATATTGGCATAGTTGTTCAAAACATCATTATAAAGAAAATCTCAAAAGTCCTCATCGTTCCGAGGTGTGCTAAAAATTTGGCACGGGGTCAAAGGTCAAAAAAATGAGTTTTTTGCGATTTTTAGCGAAACGGTGAGTTTTTTCGCAAAATTACCCCAGTACAAAATTGTAGATCACAAAATTTTCTACAAAAAATATATCAATAATTTTTTTCCTAAAAGCCACCATTTTGGAGATATAACGTTCCGAAAAGTTGGATCAGTCGTAATCCCTCTATTTTGCACACGTTTCCACGCCACCTATGAGGTAGTGTACAAAGCGCGTTTTTTTTAACGTGGTTTCCCCAGTAGGCCTATTCCACGGGTCTGCTGAGATTTTATATGTTTTAAAACTATTGCAAAATAATATTATATATTATAGTGGGCAAAAACAACGGCGGTGTAATTAAATAAAATACTTAAAATAAAAAGTTAGTCGTCTGATTCATAACTGTCCAAGATTTCTGTTTCTTCTTCTTCTTGATCTTCTTCTCGCCATATTTCAGTTTAAGTCGCAGCTTAATAGTCCTGTTATCTAAAGTTAAAATTTTGCTAACATCTTTTAACTCAGCCAAAGTAAACTGACAGTCATTGCTACTCTCAATGTATGTAAATATTTCCTGCATTGCCAGATCTGTTGCTTCATCTTTAGGACGACCAACTGTACCGCCAGTAGTCGGTTTCAAAAAAGAAGTATAACATTCTTGGTGATACTTTGCTTCAGCAGCAACTAAATCATAGTCAAATTCGATTCGAGCAACAACAGCTTCCGATATAGCATCGGAACGAGTTCGTGCTACTTCCAAAATTGAATGTTTGAATTGGAGTGTACTTACTTGACAAATTTTACTGCGACGATCTAAGGATTTTTTTCTCTGCAACTCTTCATTCAATTTATTGCCACAAAATAAACATAGTTTTTTAAAACAAAAAGCTGAATCACTTGAACGGGATCTAGTACGAGGAGGACTACTTACTGTAGATCCTGTAGATGTGTTAGCTTCTTGTTCTTCGCGTTTTCTTTTGATGGCAGCAGCAATAGAACACTTCCGCGTATAAATTTTACGACAGTTGCTATGTATTGTCACAGATTTTTGTTTTTTAAGAAATTCCGAGTATCCATCATCTCTTTCAGCACTTGCATTAATCAGTGTCTTCATACCACGATCAACAGTTACAGTTTCACTTTCAGTTAAAATATGAGTACAAATAAAACAATATTCTGACATTTTTCTTATAAAAATCTAAAACGCACAAAATAGGTTAAAAGATAGGTTAAGATAAGCACATGTTTTCCCTACGCAGTGGCGCTCAAGACTAACGGTATGTATTTCATATATTGGGCATGCCAACATAAAGCAGGTATACGACCCTAGCCACGCGGACAATAAAATAAAAGACAGATGTTATCCCAAGGTTATACTGACGTACAAATTTAGGAACGGGGTTTCATTATACCTGAGATTCTCGTAGTTTAACTTATATTTTACATAAGCAAGTTACAATAAATAATAGCGAACTTATTTTAGTTCTATTACACCTTTAGTGACTTTCATATGTGGCGTACGTGTGCAAAATAGAGGGATTACGACTGATCCAACTTTTCGGAACGTTATATCTCCAAAATGGTGGCTTTTAGGAAAAAAAATATTAATATATTTTTTGTAGAAAATTTCGTGATCTGCAATTTTGTACTGGGGTAATTTTGCGAAAAAACTCACCGTTTCGCTAAAAATCGCAAAAAACTCATTTTTTTGACCTTTGACCCCGTGCCAAATTTTTAGCACACCTCGGAACGATGAGGACTTTTGAGATTTTCTTTATAATGATGTTTTGAACAACTATGCCAATATTCAGCTTTATGGGAATTTATGTAACCTTCCTCCTGATTTTAGGCTTAAATAGACCGGACTATAATAAGGCCTAATATTAGTTCAGATCATATGTAAGCAATTATTTTAAAAGTTCTAGATAACTTGTATGTTTAAAGCCTCTTAAATAAGATTACAATTTATTGTGCCTATTTCCATAATAAACTAATTGATATTTTACTTATTCTGAGCTTCTTAAAACAAATTATGTAATAAAAGAAATCAAATACATATAGCGCTTGCTGTGGCTAGAGATCATCTCGCGGTCCCAAATGCTCGGAGCTTCTTCTGCGGCGCCTGGGGCGTGAGGAGTATTGTTGCCTCACGCGCTCTGTATCCTCCTTAGCTTACAAATCTATTCGTACGTACTCCTGTTAATCCTGTTATTTCTTATTTGGAACCGATGCCTAAAATTTTCCTTTTTCTGCACTCTCAATTTTGAAGGTTATTGAAGTTTTCGAAATCGATCAAGCTGCAGTTGGGGGAGAAGTACGTATTAGTAACCGAAGTGGGAGTTTCTAGAAAGTCGACCACAGAGCCATTGTCCTCCCTCCACTCAAGATACTGGGTTTACAGCTGACAGTGATTTTAAACTTATACTCCTCCTTCGATTCTACCATCAAGATCCACACTCTCATATATATGATGAAAATACATTGTAAGAAGCTAGGGCGTCATTATTGGCTTAAGATAAAGTTATTTCATCTTCTGTTCTTGGGCTAGGACTCTCCCTACCGTCAAGAACAGGAGATGATGAAGGGTTGGACCAGCTGATATCTTTTTAGCCTTTCGTGGAAGGCAAACATTTAGGATGTATGGGCACATATTTTATAAATAAATATAAATAATCATCTGTTTAATCATTGAGACGGTTAAGTACGTAGAACTTAGGCTTTAAATAATAATTTAAAGACTGACCGAGATGAAACATTTCCTCGTAAAAATAAAACTTGGTTACCTTCTGTGTTATATACAACCCATAAATTAAGTACATTAAATATTCAAGTAAGCAGCAGAATGAAAATATTCGCTTTGATTATTATTCGAATTATATCTTCATGATCTTCATGATTCAATAATATCTTCATGATTCTGTTACATATCTACGAGTACTATTCTTGGACTCTAAGTTAGTAAAGAGAATATTTTTAATCATCAATGCAGCTGATTAATACATAGACAGGTGTCAGATAATATGTTATAGATTGCTTGAAAGTGTACTTTTAGAGGTCTTCTTTGTTTAATAAAACATAACGTACTACGTCTAATCAGATCTAAAATTTTTGCAGTTTTACTCATTTAAATAAAACTAATATATTTTGGATTATACTACACGACTTTATTTTTATAAAAAACTATATACTAACAACCTACATCTTGTCTGCCCGTGATCACGTTTGCTGTAAAGTAGCCGAAACGTCGAGAGTATGTAGTTTATAGTCAAAATTAAAAACGCGAAGTAAATCCGAAAAATATTAGTTTAATTTGAATAAGGTACGTTTTTTTGTGAGGTACATGACTTAGATTCAACTTATTATCTTTTATTATAAATATTAATAAAATAATAAAACAAGCTATCAAATTTCAAATATTATATATTTCTGTCTGTAAATTTTTTGGTTTCAAGTTCTTGATTTCAAGAAATTTATTAAAGGCCTGTATACTCTCATACAAATTCAATTGAATTGTATCGATTTTGTAAAATAATGGACTGACAAACGTACACAGAAACAAATTCTTCGATCATAATAAGTTGTAATAATTGAAATATAAATTGATATCTACCACAATCAACAAACACGTATGAATTTTTACGCGTATTTGAGTTTAAATTGTATTATAAGAAATACTTTACATCAGGGTTCGCCAACATTTCGGCAGGTAGGTATAGTAAAAAAAAAATTAAGTTATTTTGATACCTGAATTTTTTTTTTTAATAAATGTTACCTATAAAGCCTTTTATTTACGCAGCATTCAAGGCTGCGAGTAAGTACATACATATATCTATAATCGTATGTGGTCCGCGTGCCTCGTGTTGCCGACCGCTGCCTTACGTTACACATAAATTGTATAGCGCGATTCACTAAAACGCTTTGAAATCTAACCATTCACGGAAAATTGATTTTATGTTCACTTATCTAAATGGAGTCGAACACATCAATGAAAAGAGACCATTTTTATAATATAATATTAGGTAATAATGCATTTTGTTTCAAGATCCTTTCAAAATAAACCTTTATCTTATATT